AAGGCCAAGAGATGCATTTTCCTGAGGAAGAGGAACCTTTATTCTAGAAATATTGAGTGTCATTGAAACTTTCTGCGAACGTCAAAATGACTGTGTTCTCTTTGTACAGCATTTGTAAAGCGGTAACTTTTCAGCAACTACAGGAAGATTTGGATGAATCATTCCTTCTGTGTTGCTCTTCAACTACAGAGAACTTGTGAAGGAGGAAGCCAAGCGTGCCCGTTTACCTCAGTACCGATCTTTGGAAAGCACTGCAGAGCTAACCCCGGGAGGTTTTAAATAGTCATATGCTAACGCTGTTGTAAAGGGAGAGAGATCTCGTCCCGATTGCAGCAGCCTGAAGATTACTCATTTGGAAAAACACCTTTTAGGTGGAGTGCGTGATTAAGAGGAGGGAAGTGGAGTAGACACAGAAATTTGGCCTCCAGTGGGACTCCTCAGGAATTTTAGATGGAGGTGCAGATGCGTGGGTGTCTGCGCAGCGGCTGAGAGCCTTCCAGGGGAGCCAGCTGTGCTGGGCGGAGGAGGAAACGGCACCTGCGTGGCCCAGGACGCGAGCAGCCTGCTAGCGAGGGGTAGGCTGTGAAGTCCTGTCCAAGCCCTGCTGTGCTGGGAGAAGGGATCAGCAGGTGGGGGTTAAAGGCCAACGTGAAGAGGAGTGCAGCCTCCCTTGGCATGAAGGGGAGGCTCTGAACTGTGGGAAAGGGCTTTTTGTATGGGAATATTTTGCTGCCAGCTCTGCACGTACCGCTGGGGTTTTTTTAAATCCCATCTGTGCACGCTGGGCTGCCATTACCTCTGAAGCGAATGTCATCCCCAAAACTGACTTGGCTTCCCCGAATCCTCTGAAACTACAGCAGCTGACACAGCATCGAGGAGGGCGGTACGGTGCCAGAGCCCTGTTCTGCAGAGGTTCTTCCCCAGCCATCGCTGCGTTAGTAGCAGAGCACCTTCTACCAACGCAGCGACGTCCCCAGCATGCTGTCGTCTTGCTGTCTCCACAGAGGTCAAACGCGCAGAGGAGCTTTCTAAACTCCCTGCTTTCCCACCTTCCAACAAAAGATGAAGGGAAGTCTTGTGCAGCCAAGCAGAGGGGTCGGAGGGGTGTACAATATCCCCAGGTTCCCTTGGGAATCTGTTCCAGCCGACTTAATATTCTCAGCGTCTTGCAATCCCCACAAACAAGCTCCCTCCGTGCTGCAAAGCGTTTGTCTCAGCAGGGTGAAGTTCTCCCGTTGCAGCTTCATCCCAGAGACGGCAAGGGGCTTGATGAGTTAGTTGGGGTTTGAGTCTCGCTGGCTGCAGAAGGATGAGCAGCCGGGGCAGCGGCGGCGGCATT